TTACCAACGCGGGAAACAAGAGTTACAAACCCCCTGACAACACCAGTCTCACGATCATTTGGAACAGCAATCCTTGTGATCTTTCCACAGCTACTAAAATGTTCTCTCAAAGCATCCCTGGTCTGAGAACAGATTTTTTTGTTTTGTTTTCGCATCAGAGATTTTCCACAAATGGCTATTATAAAATGTAGATTGGTTTAAACAAAGTTGAAGACGAGGATTCTTACTTCACGTTCACCAAGAGAAGTGTCGAATCCTTTAACATAAATAGTTTTACTTTGGCTTCCTTCTCCTTTGCGAGCGGTCTGGTAGTTGCTACCAGGATTGCTGCAAATATTCCAGTAAATCGGTATTAGCATGGAACCAACTTTCACAATATGGCAGATAAGAAAAAGTACCTGCTTCGGGGAGTAGTACTGGATCCTCTCTTCTCATTAGCGAAATCAAGCCAAACATCGCGGCCTAGTAATTGTTTACCGTGCAGTTCCAATGCCTACACTCAAAACAACCAACAATAGATCAAATCATAATCATAATTCGAGTAAGACTTTAATGATTCCAAAACGAATACCAACTTACCTTCTGAGCTGCTTCTCCAGAAGCAAATTCAACATGCCCAAATCCCCTAAATCTGTCATTTTCATAAGCTAATCTAACATCGACAACTTCACCAGCTTCTTTGAAGAAATTCTCTCTGTATTTGGGTTATAAATATCAGGCAACCAACAATTTATCAGAAGAATCTGAAACAAACGATATATGCTTACACTTGAGATCTCTCAATTGCATAGGAAAGATTTTTAACAAATAGTGTCTTTGATCCTCCCTGAGTCTGAGTGGCTGGTGTCTTTGACTGTTAATAAAAAAAAATATATATATAAAACATCATAACCAAAAAATAATCAGAACTACAGAATAAAAACAGAAAAAAGTTTTTACCTGTTTTGCATTTGATTTCTGCTCTGCCTCCAACATTTTAACATCAGAATCCTGGTTTTGATTAAAAGATAGATTAATTAACTTTGATCGAACATTAACAAATACCACTACGGAATGCATAAAAAAGGTAACATTGTTGGCACCTTTTTCTTTGGGGTAACTTTCTCATCTTCACTCTCCTCCCCATCAGACTCCTCAATACTACTTTCTTGTTTAGAAGTTTTTGTTGATGATACTTTAGACTGTATTATAACAAGCAAAACAGTTAAATTCTATTGACTGGCACCTCCGCATCGAAAAAATAACAAAGAAGAACTTGGTTTAAGCATAATTACCTTCTTCTTAGGAGGTGTCTCGTCATCACTCTCCTGCACGTAGGGCAATAATTTGGACTAGGTAAGTGTATAGAATATAAAACATCAAAAATCCTTAAAAAGAGACTAAAATTAATCCAATTCAATTAGTATATGTGTCAC